CATTACAATCAATTATTTAAATACTAACAAATGTCTTCTTAAATCCCTCAAAATCCCTTTATAGTCGGGGAATACTGCACCAGAAGCGTTCTCACTAACTTGTGAGGGTTAGGTATTTGTAGTGCTAGCACCAGCGATGTTTTGGGCTGAGTTTTGAGGCCACTGGCTCACGTTGAGTTATTTAAGATTTAAGCAAAGTGCTTACGTAGCACATTAGACCCAGGAAGAGGAGTGGGCCATTCAGCCCATCGATCCCACTCCACCATTCAATGAGATCTCAGATTCATTACAGCAGCAGAAGGCCATTCAGCCCATTGTACCTGCACCAGTTCTATTAGCTAGTGCCAATCTCCTGCCCTTTCGTCATATCCCTGCACCCTATTTCTATCCATATCATCTAAGACCCTCCACCACATTTCCCAGATTGTGCATTCCATATCCTAACTACTCACTGAGAAAATTTTTTTTTCTCAAATTGTCCTTGCTTTATTTGCACGTCATCCAAGCCCTCTTGTTCTTTTTTACTTTTAACAAGCAGGAACAGCTTCTCCCTATCTTCCCTACCCAGCCACCTCATGACTTTGAAAACCTTCATCAAATCTCCTCACAGCCTTCTGCTCTCCAAGGAGAATGATCCTAACTTGTTCAATCTATCCTCATTAGTAAAGTTTCTCATTCTTGGAATTATTCTTGTAAATCCCTCTGCACCCTTTTCAATGCATTCGCATCTTTCATGTGGCAGTCACAACTGTACACAATGGTCACACGGTCGCATAATACTGAATTCCGTTTTCCTGCTTTATTCCCCATAACCCTTTATTCTCTTAATGATTGGAAATCTATCTTAACCTTGAATACACCTAACCATCCAACATCCATAGCTCTCTGCAATAGAATTATTCCACACCCTTCAGAGAAAAAAAAATCCTCCACATCTGTTTCAAATGGACGATTCCGAGTTATGCCTCTGGTCCTCCACTCTCCCACAAGGCAAAACAACCTTCCCCATCCCAATGTCCATGCCATATTTCTTAATGAGCCCTTGAACAACTATCATTTGTTGTATCAGTTTAACATATTAAAGGTTCCTTATTCTGTCAAAAACAATGCAGCCTGATCCATTTTATTATTAATTTTCCCCATTTACAGGAAAACAGAATTCTGCAGTTGAGCATTTATCTACAAGATGGAGGATCTTGTGCAAGATACCTGTTTAGCATCTCTGCCATACCCTGAAAGCCCCTTTTAATCTGTCCTGGAGAATGTTTCAATAGCTCAATACCATTTTTATGAACCTTTGGCTCCTAATATAGATAAACAATGTCTCTTCCATGAGTCATAATGTTCCACTATGCTCTTCTCTAATAACATTTTTATTATTTGGAAATTTTAGCTTCCCAGAATTGCTCACACAACCAGGCTTTGATATTGCTGAGAATTATCAGGTTTTAAATCTTTGAAAATATTTTTGTTTCGGTCTTAATTGTCTTTGCATTTGCACAGTAGTGAACATTTAAAATCACACGGCTTACCAATACAACTAGACCCCTAGAAAACAGCAACATAGGTCAGCTCTATCAAGATCAAACTTCAAGATCTCACAGCCAATCAGATAATGAAAGGGAGGGAGCAAAGGTAATTGGGCAAAGCAGAGAAGTCATCCCAGGAAGGCAGCTGACCAGCAAGAGATGAGGCTGGGTATTCATCAAAAAGTGTGATAAAATGAAATTTTGGGTTGGCATTCAACAGTAACCCTCCAAACAAAGGATTTAAAGGGAATGCCTACACAAACAGATAGTGAGAACAGGGGGAGTTTGTCATGTGGAATGGAGGAAGTGTTGATATAGGTGAAGGAGACTGAGGTAGAAGGGAAGGAAAGCAGAAAGGGGAAAAGCTAATTGGAGTGAACAAGTGGAAGATAAACACCAACATCTACATGTCAGGCCAAATAATCTGCTTCTATTGCAGATTCTACGTAAAAATGGTTACAGTTGAGCAATTAATGTGGGCCTGGACCCTGGGAGAACTTCTGTTTTTTCTGGGTAATGTCAGGGGATCTTCTCATCCAAAGGAAGGTGGATCATTAACTTATTGTCCTGTCCAAAAGACAACACCCCCACAGTTCCCATGCCCCTGTCTCTGGAGTAGGGTTTGATCCTCCAAGTGTCTGACTCGGAAACAAGAATGTTCCTTCTGACTAAAGACTGACAGCTCAGCAGCCAGTAACAGAGAGATGGAAAGGGGCAGACTGAGGCTGTTTGGCCAGTCTAAGACAAAAAGACAACTCTGAATAAATTTCAAGGAGCTGAAAAGGAGGTGTTGGTGAAGGAAGGAAAAATATTAAGCTCCAGCTCCTGCTATAAACTCTAATAGGGTCATTCATATTCTCTCTCTAAAAATAACATTTCTAGTCACACATTGCAACATCCTAATTCGCACTTTCGCTAAACCTCGTGACTAAGCAGGAAATTCATATTTTGAAATGGGATGGGTGATTCTCACACATGCTGGCTTGCTTACTGTGCTCAGTGTGAACAACACAAACAAGTTACATCTGCCATCTTTGCAGCCATTCGCACACTTGCCTCTACAAACATAATCTATATATATTTTAGAAAGATTACAGGAGGAGGGAACAGAATCTATATGGAAAAGAAAGCACCACGACAATTCATCCTTCCATTTGATTTGCCCAAACCGTGCACAGAGGTTAACTAAGAGATGGGGACTGTCAAGAAACTTGTACCTAAGTAGCTCAAGACAAAACAGTTGCCTAAATGGTGAGGTTCAGTTGCAACTTGCCCAAATATGTCCTCTTTACACCCCCGCCCCGCCACACAGCCACCAGAAAGAGTGAAATTTGAGAATTTAGTTGATTACCCTCACAGTAGGTGGAAATGAAGCAGGCATACAGACTTGGATAAATCGAAAAAAAAACACTACTGCCACCAAGAGGTCACCAGGAAAATAACATTCGAAACTGACCGACTTTCAGAGGATGAGGCTGAATTTACTGCCTTTCCTTTATCCCATCATCGTGCTGTGATGTAAACATCTGGCTTCAACTCATACTCGTATGACTTAAGTTAGCAGCTGTTCCATCCCCGGTATATTTATTCAAAATTGTCGAAATAGAAATAAGGGGAAAACGGTGGAAAAATAAAGTCCAAACTTTCTCCCTCTGTACCCCCAAGGTCAGAGAATTTTAAATTCCCAGATAACAAGGTGTAGAGCAGGCCAAGCAGCATCTCCTACTATCTCTGATACATTTTAAATTCCCATCCTTGTTTTCAATGATCTCTATGCCATCATTCTCTCTATGTCTTTGATCTCTTCCAGCCCCACCAACCTTCTGTGGTATCTGCACTTTCTGGCCTCTTGTACACTTATCATTTTAATGGCTTCAGCTTGGTGCCTGCAGCTGCTTAGGCCCTAAGATTTAAGATATGCTGCAAAACATGCCTTTTTGATCAAATGTTTGGTAATTGGTCATAAATGCCATGTGGTTCAGTGCTAAATATTGTTTGATCAAGGTCCTGTGAAGCCTCTTGGAATATGTTACTGTATCACAAGGTGCTTCTAAAGTACAGGTTATGGTTTCAGCATTTCAAAGGCGAACAGACATTTTATTTTCTGGGATGTAAATGTTTCATCAGGACTGGAACAGGTTCTGAGGAAGGGTCACTCAACCCAAAACGTTAACTCTACCTTGTCTCCACAAATGCTGCCAGACCTGCTGGGTTTTTCCAGCAAATTCCTTCTTGTTTCGGTTTTACAGCATCCGCAGTTCTTTGTTTTTTTTTTCAAAAAGGTGAATATCGTTGGGGATGGGAAAACACGGAAAGCATAAAGAAAACAGTGGGTAGAAGTGAAGAGCCTAGAGTGCTCACTCCTAAGACCATAAGACATTGCTACTCTGGTCCTTCCAGTCCATCGAGTCTACTCCTCCATTCAATGAGACCATGGCTAATCTGATGTCCCTCAACTCCACTTTCCTCCATTTTCCCCATAACACTTGATTCCCTCACCAATTAGAAGTCTGTCTATCTCAGTGCTGAATCTACATAATAACCAGCCCTCTGTGGTAATGAATTCCACAGGTTCACCATTCTCAGAGTATAGCTAGCATCAGTCTAATAATGATTGGAATCAAAGTGACCTACTTTTAAAATAAATCCCCACATTTTTATTGGTGCATTTCTAAACAGAGGAAAAAAAATACCAACGCCAAAACATTATAACACACAGGGGACGATTATTTTATTCTTATTTATTACATTCAAATTACATCACAGGCTACTGTCCTATTGATAACTTAGATAAAGGTTGGAATGGTAGATCTTCTTCATGTAGCTAAAAGGAAATAGTAGAAGGCTCCAATGGAGACCAGAATGACATATCTTGCTTTGATGTGGAGTTGAAGGAGATTGCAGTGATAGGGAGGGGTGAGGCCATGGAGGAATTTGAAAACATGGGTGAGAATTTTGTAAATCAGGATGTTGATTAATTGAGAACCAACATAGGGCAGTGAGGACAGGAATCATAGGGGAATGCATCTTGCTACGAGTTAAGACAGCAGCAGGTTGGTGAATGACCTCAAGATTAAGGGGGATCCAATGTGAGAGACCAGCCAGAAATTCGACAAGTACAGAAGGTAACCCTAAAAAACACAAATGCAGAAGACATGCTGTGCAACTTCAAGACCTAACAAAGGAATCTATAAAAATGAAAAGGGAGCCTCTTTTCATTTCTATAGATAGCCCACAAGAAAAATAAAGCATTTCACCCTAGACTGGATTGAGGGATAACTCAATCACAAAGAAGAATTACTTTTTCAAAATTTTTCAATTGCATGCACTGCTCAATTTTATTCTTGCCCCATTGACTAGTGGCAAACTGTTTAATAGTTCAGCCTGTAAAAATGCAACAGACACCTGTAAACTAAATTTAAAGTTCCAAAACGGTTTGCTGTACTATAAAGTATTGACCTCCTGTCTTACCTTCATGTCGGCAGGGGGATTCACATCCTTTCTGTGGTGAAGCTACACGAAGGAAAATCTGCTGTCTCCAGGATTGTCGACGGCTGCGGATCAGATTCCCATGACCATTACTCCCTCTGCATGGGCTCGGCCTCGATTCATAATCACTGTAATAAGAAAACACCCAGGAAGGCAAACTATTAACTGTTAATCCACTCTGTAATGTTCACAGTTAATCATTTCTAAATTCAGTTCATTTTCTTCTGCTGAGAAGTTAACCCAAATCATAAATGTTTGTTAGTTGCATACGAAGTGGAGAGTGAATAATTGGTTTTACTTCAATGGCTAAGCCTTCTAATGTGTATACTAAAGAAAAATAAATATGTATTCTAATACAAAGTATTACAAGAGTCTCAGCATAGGTGAACAAAGAAACAAAATTAAGGATTAACCAGTGCTTTATTTAACTATCATTTTGTGGAGTGTGATGACAGCATTAGGGAACTTAAGCCTTCATAATTAGTGTAGCATTGTTAACACCTTGAAGTAACAACCAGTAGATATAGACATTAGTCCAGACTTCTTTAGAATCAATAAAATGTACACACTGATAGTTTAACAATTAGGCTTAGTCATTACTTAAAGAACTCCTAGTTCAAGCAATCAGCAACACTGAAGACCAGAAACAATGGATAGGTTAAAAAAAAGCCAAAAGATGATTATCCAATTATTCAAAGTTCAGCAGCAAAAAAGCACCTGAAATTCCACTCAGGAACAGAGCCAGAACTGTACACATGGGCACGTCAAATTTTAATGGTGCCACTTAAATGTAATCTTTTAAAAATAGTTATGCAATAATTTAAAAACCGTCAGGAATAAGTTTTTCATTTAAAAACTAAAATTATCTTCCATGCCTTATCGTGTGGAAGCTGTAATCATAATTCTTACAGTGTTCAGCAGTTTACAACTGTGATCAGGTAGCTAATTATCCCTTTACCCACTATCATACCCCTGGATTTTCAACTTTACATAAAATAAAAACCTTAGTTTCTTTGCAAATTTACATGATGGAAATTAACTTCTCAATTTGTATTATCCACATTCCCCAATGTCTGTAAATCTTTTCCTGAAGTATGACTTGGATTGAAAGCCACAGGCTTTTTTTTGGGAGGGTGGGGGTGGGGTTTGAAAATGATTTTATTTTGTCACATCTGGAAAAGGGAAAAATGTGGGAGTGAGCTTCAATAATGATAATGAGATACTGTACAATGGAAAAATAAAATCAGTGAAATTTAATCTGCACTATGATGAACAGTCAAGTTTTCCGCAAAAGGTGACCGTATGCTTTGTCTGACATTAATTCTGCAAACTTCCACATACTTAGGATTCAAGTACAGCATGATACCAAAATTGAAACCACAGCACAACACATGACTAAGATGCTAGTCCTAATGCCCCTTCACTGGTACTCCATACTGAAGAAACCAAAGAAACACTAGTAACCTCCAGGTTGGCAGCAGACTGAGGGGCTTTTCTTTATTTGTTCTCAAATGGATCTTTATTTTTGCTACCCAAATAATGACACTAGATGTAGTTTTTTTTTTTTAAATTCAGACTCTGATTGTCAGGTCTGTTTTTATTTCTATCAACACGTCTAACCACGATCAAGTGGTCAATCAATCCTGTTTATAACCATTCTGTAAAATCCACATAAGAGAGACAAAGCAATACCAAACACAGGCAGTAAGGAAAAAGGGAAATGATGCTGACAGCTACAAGATCACAGTTATGAGTTGGTGAAACTTCTTTACCCAGGAAGTGGTGAACCTGTGAAATTTTCTGCTGCAGAAAGCAGCCGCGACCAAAACACGGAATGTTTTCAAGAAGTTAGGCATAGCTGTTACAGCTAAAGGGATCAGAGAGTAAGGGGACAAAGCAGGAACAGGTTGCTGAATTGGGTGATCAGCCATGATCACACTGAATGGCACAGCAGGCTCGAAGGGCTAGTGGTCTACTCCTGCTACTATTTTCTACAACATGCTCAAATAAAACTGGAGTCAATAACAGAAAAAAAAACATTAACAGTGAAATTGTGGCATAAGATTAGGTTTTTAAGGTTTTCCTTTTAATTCACTTCGAGATGTAGGCATCGCTGGCTGGCCAGCATTTATTGCTGGTCCCTGGTTGTCCCTGAGAAGGTGGTGATGAGCTGCCTTTTTAAACCGCTGCGGTCCTCCTGCTGTGGGATGACCCACAATGCTATTAGGGAGGGAATTCCAGGATTTTGACCCAGTAACAGTGAAAGAACGGCGATATATTTTCAAGTCAAGATGGTGAGTGGCTTGGAGGGGAACTTGAAGGTGGTGTTCCTATATGTCTGCCACCCTTGACCTTGGAGATGGAAGTGGTTGTAGATTTGGAAGATGCTGTATAAGGATCTTGGTGAATTTCTGCAGTACATCCTGTGGATAGTACACACTGCTGCTACTGAGCGTCACTGGAGGAGGCAGTGGATGCTTGTGGATGTAGTGCCAGTCAAATGGGCTGCTTTGTCCTGGATGGTGTCAAGCTTCTTGAGTGTTGTTAGAGCTGCACTCATCCAGGCAAGTCTATTCCATCACACTCCTGATTTGTGCCTTGTAAATGATGGACAGACTTTGGAGAGTCAAAAGGTGAGCTACTCACCATAATATTCTTAGGCTCTGACCTGCTCTTGTAGCCACTATATCTATATGAGGAGTCCAGTTGAGTTTTTATTCAATGGTAACCCAAAGGATATTGATAGTGGGGCATTCAGTGATGGTAATGCCATTGAATACCAAGGGACAGTCGTTAGATCATCTTTTATTGGTGATGGTCATTGCCTGGCATTTGTGTGGGGCAAATGATATTTACTACTTGTCAGCCCAAGTCTGGATATTGTCCAGATCTTGCTGCATTTGAACATGGGCTGCTTCAATATCTAAAGAGTCATGAATGTTGCTGAACATTGTGCAATCATCAGCGAACATCCCCACTTCTGACCTTATGATGGAGGGAAGGTCATTGATGAAGCAGCTGAAGGTGGCTGGGCCTAGGACACTACCCTCAGGAACACCTGCAGAGATGTCCTGGAGCGGAGATAACTGACCTCCAACAACCACGACCATCTTCCTACGTGCCAAGAATGACTTCAGAGTTTACATCTAGAGTATTGCGCATAGTTTTAATCCCCTTATTTAGGGAAAGATATAGCTGCATTAACAATGCAGAGACTGTTCACTCAACAGATTCCTGCGATGAAATGAGGTGTCGTACAATGAAAGGTTGGACAAGTTTGACCTGCAAGGAGTTTCAAAGAATAAGGGGTGATCTTGTTGAGACATGCATGAGGGGGCTGAGCAGGGAAGGTATTGAAAGAGTGCTTCCCTTCAAGAGTCTAGAGTTCAGGAGCACACTTTAAAAGGAAGGGATCCCCAATGTCAGACAGAGATGAGGACTTTTCTTCTTTCAAAGGGTCATTATTCCGTGGAATTCTTTTCCAAAGACAGCAGTGGAGACTGAGTCATGGACTAGTTTACGATTGAATTGGATCGATCCTTGATTAATAAGGGAGTCATTGGGTATAGCAGTTCAACAAGAATATGGCCTCACCAATGTCTTGTACAACCTTAACATGACGTCCAAACTCTTATATATTCAGTGGTCTCAGCAATGAAAGCAAGTGCTCTAAAGGCCTTCTTATTTTCTATATGCGATGCATCTTCCAAAGAACTACGTACCTCAACTCCTGGGTGTCTTTGTTCAACAAAACTCCCCTGTGCCCTACCATTAACTGGCCTTGTTTGTTTTACCAAAATGCAATACCTCACATTTATCCAAATTAAATTCATCTGCCACTCCTCAGCCCTTTGTCCTAATTGATCAAGATCCGTTTGTAATTTTTGATAAACTTCTTCACTGTCGACTTTACTACCAATTTTGGTGTCATCCGCAAACTTACTAGCCATGCTTCCTAGGTTTTCATCCAAATTATTTACATAAATGACTAATGAATGTGGACCCAGCACCGATCCCTGCAGAACACTGCTGGTCGTAGGCCTCCAGTCTGAGAAACAACCCTCCCCCACCACAACTGTCTCTTACCATCAAGCCAAATTTGTGACCAATTGGCAAGCTCTCCCTGTGATCTAACTTAACTAATTAGCCTACTGTACGGAACCCTGTCAAAAGCTCTACTAAAGTCCATATAGACAATGTCAACTGCTCTGCCTGCAATCCTTTGGCTACGTCCTCAAAAAAATCAATTAAGTTTGTGAGACACAATTTCCCACTCACAAAACCATGCTGACCATCCCTATCAGTCCTTGCCTCTCCAAATGCATGTAAATCCTATCTCTCAGAATCCCTACAACTTGCCCACCACTGATGTCAAACTCGTAGGTCTATAGTTCCTGGGCTTCTACTTACAGCCTTTCTTAAATAAAGGCTTAACATTAGCTACCCTCCAGTCCTCAGGCACCTCACCCATGGCTGTAGATGATACAAATACCTCTGTTAGGGGCCCCAGAAATTCTTCCCCAACTTACCACAATGTCCTGGGATATTACTTGATATCCGAAGATTTACCTATCTTTTGTTTTTTAAAAAAAAAAAAAGACCTCCAGCACTTCCTCTTCTGTAATGTGAATTGTTCTCAATACATCAATATTTATTTCCCGGAGTTCCCTACCCTCCATTTCTTTCTCCCCAGTAAAAACTGACGTGAAATATTCGTTTAGTATCTCACCCATCTCCTGCGAGTTCCACACATAGACAACCTCGCTAATCTTGAATGGGCCCTGTTTTCTCTTTATGCTGCTTTTTCATCCTTAATGTACATTTAGAATCTCTTTGGATTATCCTTAGCCTTGGCAGATAAGGTTATCTCACATCCTCTTTTTACCAGAGATAGTAGGAACTGCAGATGCTGGAGAATCTGAGATAACAAGGTGTAGAGCTGGATGAACACAGCAGGCCAAG